AGCTCCATTCTCTGAAACCTCGGGCGGGGCGCCGCTACGTTTTTTAGTACAATAGATAGCCTGCGTTTTCGAGTAATTAATTTTGATTAGCCACCGATCTGCCCATTCCAACACCTCGTCCACCACAATTTGTAACCTGTCGTGAACCAGATTCCTGGTACGCGACTGGGCCACCAGTGCAGTGTCATCAGCGTAAGGGACATCATGCGTGAAAAGTGAGTAAAGGATTGGCCCTAGAACCGAACCCTGAAGGACGCCGGCTCAAATGGGCCGTACTGTCGACAAGAAATTATTAATTTTGATCCGAAATTTCCTACCTCCAAGAAAAGATTTCAAAAGTTTTAGGAGCCAAAATGGAAAGCCATTTTGAATTAGTTTATAGAGAAGGCCCTTGTGCCACACCTTGTCAAATGCCTCCGAGACATTCAGTAGCAAGATGCCAGTACTATGGTTAAAGGTGAAGCCCCTGGCTACTCGCTCCACTCCGTACTATGCTCAGACCGAAATCCAAATTTCACGTCAGGAATCACATGGTGATCTGACGAGAAATTCGCAAGGTGACGTAGAATCACCTTTTCAGCGAGCTTAGACGGAGCAGACAGTAGGCTGATGGGACGATAGTCCTGGAGAAATATCGAACCCACCTTCTTTGGAATCATTATAACTTCCGCAGTCTTCCACGCCGATGGAAAGTACTGGGTCCTTAGGATGGCATTGATAATAGTCACGAGATAAGTCAAGGACTTCCGTGAAAGCAGCTTCAGCGCCTTATTAGTGATTTGATCCTCCTCAGGCGCTTTACGCAACTTGAGGTCTTTAATATAACCTTGAAGCTCTGCTGGTGTGCTGTGCAACTCTTCAGCTGAAGAATCTTCCGAAAAAGAATCTTCTGAGGAAGAATCACTAATGGTAGCGCCTGGATCACTGACGCCGTTGGCCCTAAAATATCTCCTGACGGATTTTACAATTTGTTGCTCCTCGTTGAGATCGTGAGGTGATTAAATGGGTGGTGCGTGGGCTCTTCAGTACTGTGTATGAGGCACCCGTTTCGTATCACATGTGTGTACAGTCGAATCCCACTGGTGGAATTCAACCTAGAATGCCATGCTCTGTGTTTGCAGTTGAAGTCTCCTGCTACAATAAGCGGACCAGAATAGTCCATAAAGACTTCCAGGTCCGCATCCTGCAGCCTGGTACCACACTGACATACACAGATGTGATGTTCAACGGGACACCTCCCGTCATATTGACATCCACGGAAGCGCCTCAGTGCTCTGCATTTCGGTATTTATGCTTCTATGGTAGTCAATACCACGTTTTACTAGGACTGCCAAGCCGCCACCCCGTCCAGTTAATCTATCAGCTCGGATAACATCATAATTCGGGAGAGCTAGACAATCTCCCGGATTAAGCAATGTTTCCTGCAACACAGCCACATCTTTACTCTCATCCAAAAGTACTTGATGAAATTCCCGTTTTTTGGGAATATCCCTAAGACCCAAACAATACTAGAAAACAATTTTGATGAATGCAGGCGACGTATGAACTATTGATAAACCGTACAAAAGAAATCTTTTGTAATATGGATCTGATTTAACATTTTTTTGCAATTTAAATATACTAAGTGACATATAAATCCGAACACCCAGTTTAAATGGTTTTATTTTAATAAAATTTTGTATAAGTACTTAACGAAGCATAATAAGTAAATGATAAAAATTTCAAAATGATTGCACTGCTTTAAAGCCCTTTGACCTTTAATAATGTGTGGATGCACCCTGATGTGCTACACATTCTCCAACGCGCCTAGGCTTGCTTCTGATCAGGTGGTCAATGTCCTCCTGTGGTATCTCATTCCAGGCAACCACCAACTCCTCTCGAAGTGCTTCTAGAGTCTGAGGAGGACGTTGCAAATTGAGCAATCTCCTACCCATCATATCCCACACGTGCTCAATTGGGGATAAGTCGGGAGATCTTGGTGGCCTTGGTAACAATGTGACATCGTTATGTTGAAAGAAGTCTATTGTGACTCTTGCAACATGTGGTGGGGCATTATCTTGTTGGAAAGTTGGATCTGTCAGGGTGTCAAGATAGGGTAAAAGATGGGGTTCTAGAACTTCGTGGATATAACGCTGCGCGTTCATGTTACCTCTGATGAAGATTAAAGGTGACCTGGAACCATAAGCTATAGCACCCCAAACCATAACTCCAACAGTGTGATGAACATGTCTTTCAACAAAAAACTGTGGATTCCTCCTTTCACCACGTCGCCTTCTAACCCTGGCACGACCATCGTGCATGCCTAAACAAAATCGAGACTCGTCACTAAAGACAATACTGTTCCATTCCTGATCCCAGAGTGACCGTTGTCTGCACCACTCAAGGCGATTACGTCGGTGTTCTCGAGTTAAAGGGAGGACCCAGTGTGGCCGGTATGAAAACAAGCCAAAACTTCTCATTCGTCGGTAAACACTTCGCATGCCAATAGGTCTTCCGTGTTCTGCAAACCATTTATTTGCAATGGACCTGGTAGTGGAGAAACGGTCCCTTAAGGCCAATAATCTTAGGCGGCGATCTTCACGGTCTGTTGTTCTACGGCGGCGTCCAGTGCCCCTTGCTCTTTGCGTACGGCTTTCTCGAAGCCATGCCTGACAACACCTAACCTCAGTGTCTACACTTCTTTGTACTCTAACTGCAATTGCCCGAAAAGAAAGTCCAGCTTCCCGAAGTCCCACTATACGGCCCCTATCAAACTCACTAAGTTGACGAAATCGTACAGGTCTCCGTACTCTAGGCATCGTAACCGATCGTAAAGGATGTCAAGAACCAACATCCGCCAACGTTGATTCTTTACTGCGGCTGAAGTATTCATTTTTAGAGCGTTAGTGTATTAAAAAAAAACAGTATAAAAACCGGAATGTCCAACTGATAAGGCTGAAAATTTTTTCACTTGTTATTTACAGTAAGATAAATACATTCACCAACTTTTATTAAAATAAAACCATTTAAACTGGGTATTCGGATTTATATGTCACTTAGTATATTTTGAGGAAAACGTAAGCTTTGCATAAAAAGACATAAACTGTGTGCTTGAAAAGCTACCTGTCCTTTAAGTTTCCCGAATTCTCGAGCAACTCGCGCGAGATCAATTCCAGCATAAACATATAAAAATCACGATCAACATTACACCACCCAACACCTTATTACAAGGTGTTTCAACGAAATATTTCTATTATACCGATTCTCCGAGCTTATGGTTTGATAACTACAATCGGCACATTCATCATTTTTGCAAAATCAGGAAAACTGTATCCGCCTATTTCTCAGAATCTAATCATAGGATTGCTTTGATCCCATGGCCACTTTTATTTGGGAAGGGAAGAAATATACTAAGTGACATATAAATCCGAACACCCAGTTTAAATGGTTTTATTTTAATAAAAGTTGGTGAATGTATTTATCTTACTGTAAATAACAAGTGAATAAATTTTCAGCCTTATCAGTTGGACATTCTGGTTTTTATACTGCTTTTTTTAATTCACTAACGCTCTAAAAATGAATATTTCAGCCGCAGTAAAGAATCAACGTTGGTGGATTTTGGTTCTTGACATCCTTTACGATCGGTTACGATGCCTAGAGTACGGAGACCTGTACGATTTCGTCAACTTAGTGAGTTTGATAGGGACCGTATAGTGGGACTTCGGGAAGCTGGACTTTCTTTTCGGGCAATTGCAGTTGGAGTGCAAAGAAGTGTAGACACTGTGGTTAGGTGTTGTCAGGCATGGCTTCGAGAAGGCCGTACGCAAAGAGCAAGGGACACTGGACGCCGCCGTAGAACAACAGACCGTGAAGATCGCCGCCTATTATTGGCCTTAAGGGACCGTTTCTCCACTACCAGGTCCATTGCAAATGAATGGTTTGCAGAACACGGAAGACCTATTGGCATGCGAAGTGTTTACCGACGAATGAGAAGTTTTGACTTGTTTTCATAACGGCCACACTGGGTCCTCCCTTTAACTCGAGAACACCGACGTAATCGCCTTGAGTAGTGCCGACAACGGTCACTCTGGGATCAGGAATGGAACAGTATTGTCTTTAGTGACGAGTCTCGATTTTGTTTAGGCATGCACGATGGTCGTGCCAGGGTTAGAAGGCGACGTGGTGAAAGGAGGAATCCACAGTTTTTTGTTGAAAGACATGTTCATCACACTGTTGGAGTTATGGTTTGGGGTGCTATAGCTTATGTTTCCAGGTCACCTTTAATCTTCATCAGAGGTAACATGAACGCGCAGCGTTATATCCACGATGTTCTAGAACCCCATCTTTTACCCTATCTTGACACCCTGGCAGATCCAACTTTCCAACAAGATAATGCCCGACCACATGTTGCAAGTGTCACAGTATACTTCTTTCAACATAATGATGTCACATTGTTATCATGGCCACCAAGATCTCCCGACTTATCCCCAATTGAGTACGTGTGGGATATGATGGGTAGGAGATTGCTCAATTTGCAACGTCCTCCTCAGACTCTAGAAGCACTTCGAGAGGAGTTGGTGGTTGCCTGGAATGAGATACCACAGGACATTGACCACCTGATCAGAAGCATGCCTAGGCGCGTTGGAGAATGCGTAGCACATCAGGGTGCATCCACACATTATTAAAGGTCAAAGGGCTTTAAAGCAGTGCAATCATTTTAAAATTTTTATCATTTACTTATTATGCTTCATTAAGTACTTATACAAAATTTTATTAAAATAAAACCATTTAAACTGGGTGTTCGGATTTATGTCACTTAGTATATATCATACTGAATTTTAAGACAACTCAACTGCGACTCATTTAACATATGTTTGGTGCCTGGTCCATTCCAAAAATTGACAAGTTTCCCATAACCTCCAAAATCTCCAAAGTTTCGAAAAAATCGAAAATATTTTCGAAATTTCCGTGATTTTCAAAAGTGGGGTTCAATAAAAATGAGAGAGCAGCATGTTCCTAACCTTAAGTCCCTGTTCATAAGCCTCTGGAAGCAAATGTAGCTATCGTTAGCTTCGATTTGCACCAGCAACTTGATATGAAGATCAGTAACAGCAGGTCTACGATAAACGTCAGGTACAAGTTGCGCTATCGATTCTGACAATTTGGTTGTCTCCGCTTCTGGTATAGCTTCTGTCAGCGAATTATTCGATTCTACGTATGGAACAGCAGCAAATGATGACGAAACTGCTGAAAAATATGACTATATGCATTAATTGTCTTGGCAGCTTGAAAGTCGTATTGTGTCGACGTATGCCGCATCTTCAATTTTTATCAGACTCTATCATGTACCAGCTGTGACCAACGGATTTATGTCTGGGGGGGTCACACTGGTCAAAAAACTTCATGTTCAGGAAGATGTTCTTCTCGTCTTCGCCGATATGCAAGTAAACAAGATGACTGTAATGTGTTAGTTATATATTCTTCACTTCGTCTATACAATACATAAGAAATAGTTTGGTTGCAATAAAGTGGAATCACGTAACAGAATAGTTCCCGGACGTAAACTCACTCCACTCTCGGAATGTCCGGGTGGAGGGTGGGCTCGAGGGAACAACATCGAAGATAAAATTTGTTTTTCGAACATCTGCGGGATCAACAGCAACATTGATGCTGTTCATCACTACCTGCAATCCAATCGTCCCGCCGTGCTTTTCTTGGCGGAGACAAAAATCTCAGAGACTGCACCGATTAACCATCTCAACTTCCCAAACTACGAGGTGCACTCCAATCTGAGAAAGAACGGGGGAGTTGTGGCTTTTGTCCGCAGCAGTCTTTCCTGCTCCAGGGATCTTTCTTTGGAATCAGACCGGAAGGACATTCTGTGGCTTCGCCTCATCTCCAAAACATCACCCAAATTTATTTGCTGCCTTTATCGCTCTCCATCGAACCATAACTGGGATGACCTACTCGAATACCTCGCCGTCCAGATCGACTTCCTGAACATCAATCACCCCGCTTCAGAGGTGGTTCTTCTCGGTGATTTCAATGCCCATAATGAGCTTTGGTTGGGCTCAAATAAGACCGATGCAGCAGGTCGTGCAGTCGAAGCGTTCGCTCTTACTCAAGGACTGACCCAGCTGGTGACGAGCCCTACTTTTTTCCCCCGCGTCTCGTCACACGCCAGTAGCCTGCTGGATCTCTTTCTAACCACGCATCCTGCCCCTTACAGCACTGCTGTCCTGTCCCCCCTGGGTAACTCAGATCACGGTGTTGTGGAGGTTAGGTTTCGGTCAGAAGCCGCTGTGGCAGCAGAAACTCGCACAGGCCGCAAAACTTGGCATTACGGACATGCCGACTGGGAGGGGCTCAGAGACTTCTTCTCTAGCTTTCCTTGGAGAGATGTCTGTTTCACTGACTCGGATGCGTCGACTGTCTGTTCTTCAATAACCGAAATTATCCACGTCGGAATGGAGGAATACATCCCTCACACAGTAAAAGTTCCTAAACCAGGGTCCAACGGCTGGTTCAACAAATGGTGTGACACTGCTCGCCAGCAGAAGATCAAGGCCCACAGAACCTACTTACAAGCCGACGTCGAGTCGAGAAACAAATATAACGAAGCAGTTCGCAATGCCAAAAACCAGCATGATATAAAAGTTAGGCACATGGTAATGTCGCAGCGCAATGGCAGTCGGTCTTTCTGGACGCTGGCCAAGCAGATTGAAAAGAACTTCTCACACAGTAGCCTTCCACCACTTACGTGTCAGGATGGAACTATTGTATTCGACTCAAAGGCCAAGACGGAAGTGCTAGCCAAGATCTTTGCTGCCAACTCCACCATGGACGTCCCCACCAACGCCCAAGTGCCGTCAATTCAAAGGGTTCCCCACACTATGCGGGAGGTAACATTCAGGCATAAGACCGTAAGACGAGTGCTCTTGTCGCTCGACATCAACAAAGCTTCTGGTCCGGACTTGATTCCTGCCATTATACAGAAGAGATGTGCAGCGGAGCTTGCTCCAGTTCTTTCGCGTCTCTTCCAGATATCTTATGAATCCGGCACCTTTCCAGAAAACTGGAAATTTGTTCATGTACAGCCCATCCCAAAAAAATGATCTAAAACCGACCCTTACAACTACAGGCCTATAGCTCTGCTTTCTGTTATAAGTAAAGTGATGGAGAGGTGCATAAATCGCGAGCTTCTGGACTACCTCGAACGTCACAGCTTGATTAGCGACAGGCAGTACGGTTTTCGGCACCAACGATCCACAGGGGACCTCCTAGCTTACGTCACGCAACTGTGGAGTAAACTCATCCAGTCTCATGGTGAGGCTCATGTCGTTGCTCTTGACATCACGAAAGCGTTCGATCAGATGTGGCACGCTGCCCTCTTAAGCAAACTTCCATCCTACGGCCTCCCAGAAAAGCTTTGCAGATGGGTGGCTGACTTTATCTCTGGCCGCAAGATATCCGTCGTAATTGACGGATTCTCCTCTTCATCCCACAACGTCAACGCGGGTGTTCCCCAGGGATCGGTCTTGGCTCCAACACTGTTTCTCTTACATATCAACGACCTCCTTTCCTACACGATCAACCCAATCCACAGCTTCGCTGATGACAGCACTCTACATGCAGGAATTCAGAGTGACAAGCCGATCTCTGCCGATGAGCTGGAAAAAAGAAGACTAGCGACGACTTTTTCTCTGACAAGAGACCTGGAGGCTATCACTGCTTGGGGACGCAACAATCTTGTACAGTTCAATGCTTCCAAAACACAGTACTGTACTTTGACGAACAAAAAGCGTCCTAGCGCTCATACAGTTTCGATGGACGGTCGAGTTCTACCAAAGAGCCATTCATTTCGGCTGGTCGGAGTCCAGATCACCGAGGACCTGATCTGGCACGAACACATATCTTCAATAGCTGCAGCTGCTGGCAAAAAGCTAGGCTATTTGTTTAGGGCTAAGAAGTACTTTTCTCCGCATGACCTTCTCACTCTATACAAGGCCCAGATAAGGCCTAGCCTCGAGTATTGCTCACACATTTGGGGTGCTGCCGCCCCGACTACATTGTCCATGCTCGATGCTGTCCAGAGGAGGGCGGTCCGACTGATCGATGACTCTTCTCTAACAGACAGTCTCGGGACTCTTTCGCACCGGCGGGCCGTCGGCGATCTGGCTCTTTTCTATCACTACACCAACGGGCTTTGTTCCTGCCAGACAGACCCGCCTGACTTCGGCGTCCAATCCTAACCGTGTCAAACTTCGTACATCCAGAACTGGCCGATACGACCGCTCCTTTGTCCCGAGGGTGTCTAGATTGTGGAACAATCTACGGGAGGAGGCTTTTCCCAGTTCTGCTAACCTTAGGCAGTTCAAAAATCGTATTAACAAAATTTCTTTGGGATGATCATAGCAGCCGCGGTGTTCCGGCATTTAGGCTTCTGCCTGCGCGGCTGTTTCGATATAAAAAAAAAAAAAAGTTGTATAGTTGACAAAAACTGAATCTTGTACTGACGCAAATGTCCTATAGCGGCTGCAAGAGGCTTACACTTTTATTTTATAACTGTTACCTGCAGCCCTTATAGAACCTCTTAAATGACTGAAGTGTCCTATTAGGTGTGCCCATTCCGCTTGTATAGCTGTTCTAAGAGGGTTTTGCCAATGTTCTTACAGTATACAATGCTGTTTAAGGAATACTGTATAATCATTCTTGCAACTCTAATAGGAGTGATAATTATTAGTTGGGCGTTATTTAACGTATCTTAGTGTTGTTCACCATGTTTGTATTCAATGAAATATTAATCACGGCAAACATAGCAACTATCCATCATATTTTTTTTTCTTACTTATAATTATATGCAAATCCTATAAATAGCGTGCACTCCAAATTTGACTCGACGCCCTTTACTTATCGGCAGCATCCGTGATAACTTTTAAACTCAATTATGCACAATAAGTTTGCTGGTGAATCATCAAGGTTAATCTAATTCAAAAAATTACGATGCGCATTACAACCTGTCCCGTGCCCGTGCGCGCTATTAAATGCAAAAACCAGGCTGATGTACGATTGCACTAACATGACATTAGGCATTAAATTTTGATATTAATTTCTGACTTATCATGCAACTTTCAAAATTTCCATTGCCGTATTTTATTTGTCAATAATTGCAGTAATTTATGTTATTCGCAAAACAGTTATAGTGCGCACTATTTGCCGCCTGATTATATCACTGGGTCCCTCCAGTGCATATTGCCGACTGGGCCCTTTTTCTTAAATCCGCCACTGGTCCGTCAAAAAGTATTTTTTATTAAATTTGCTCACAGCTTGAGCGCGCGCGAAGTTTTTCCTACATCAAACTCACCGCATAGGCAACCAGTCTTGCGCTATCATCTATGAGCTTACATTTAAATCAAAGTTGACGGATGCAATGCCAGTGTTCAGTAGAAAATACCAGTACGGCAACCATTCAATGTGTGTGCATTATAGATTTATCTAAGAGATTTGGAACTTTAAAAACTGGTGGTGGAACTAAATTCGCCTGGGGGGGGGGTCGGGTCATGACCCCCATGACCCTCCCCTGGATCCGCACCTGGCTGTGACGCAAACATTTCATGTGCATTATTCGGACAAAAAAGTCTAATCAAATTAAATTTGATATGACATAGTAGCGAAAAAAATTCTATACATCATACCTTGATAGATCAGGCGATTGTTTGAACGAGTATTATCCTCGCACAGTATATCCGTCAGCGCTATGTGCCTCAGATTATAACAGTGCTCGAGCAATAACGGCTTACTTCTCAACCGAAGTATGTAATCTACTATTTTCCATACTTCAATTCAATTCCAACAACTGTATACACCTTATACAGGATGTCCCAAAAGTACGGACACAACCAAATGTCTCGGAATCTAAGGGTACTAGAAAAAGACTTTCAATACAAGAACTTTAGGAAATTAAATGACGCATCATCTAGTTGTGACCTTGAATTTGACGTTCACATTCACCTTGAAGGTCTTTTCAAGAGCAAGATGATTTTTTCAAATGAGAACCCCCATTTTTTACTGCAGAAATAGAAATCCACAAAATTTCCTTTTTCTATATCATAAGGGCTGAAATTACATCTAGAGGTTATTTGAAGGTCAATTGTTGCTCTTTCATGAGATGTGAAGCAGTGAATAGCTGGAAAAGGAAGAATATCAAAGAAGAACTATCAATGTAAAAATTGTAGGACACCCAACGGCACATCTGATGGTGACCTTCAATCTGACTGACTATGATCTTGAATCGCTATTCAAGGTCAAATTGATTATTTTACATGTAAACCCCCAATTTTATGAAAAAGAGATCTTGTACTGATTGTTCAAGATATTGAGGTAAGACTATTTCCAGTTAGTAATGGCAAGGCAGGGTGGTGTACGGTCACAAGATCTGTTTTTTCACTTGCAAAGATTATCAGTCGCGTCAGTCTAATCCACGAAAATAGGTCATTTGACTTTGAAATAACATCTACGTTTTATTTTACCTCCGTTAATTAAACCTGTGCAAAAAATGGGGGTTTCAATTTAAAAAAATCAACTTGCCCTTAAAATGACCTTCAAGGTGAATGTCAACGTCAAATCAAAGGTCACAACTAGATGATTTCCTAAAACTTTTGTATCCGAAGTTTTTTCTAGCACCCTTTGTTTCCGACATATAATGGTATGTCTATACTTTTGAGATAACCTGCATGTTCTCACCATGTTTCTCCGATTCCTCTTTAGACTTTTCCTCTGAAGCTAAAACTGCAGGAATAGCTAATCTTTGCTCATTTTCCGGCATATTGTTATTATTGACCTTCTTGGTATCAATAATCACTTTGGTTGCAGTCAACTTTTTCATATCAAGCAACGTAGTAGACAAACGGCGGATTTCTTCATTCATATCTTCAACGACTTTGTCCAAGACTTCATACTCATCGATGTCTGCGTTACTCATCAGAGCGGACTTGAACGCGTCCAAAATGCCGGATTTTTTGTTCATCTGACGGGTCAGTTTGGCCAAGGAGAGTTTATTTTTCGTCTTCAGCATTTGTCGTTTAGAGTCTGTTTTTTGGAGTGTCGCAGGGACCACTTGGAAAAGAAGGATTGGTTAGAAAAACAAGGAGCTCGGAAATTTTTAATATCCATAATCTAGGAAATTTTGAAAATCTGTGGATGTTTTGAAATTTTGGAGTCTTTGTATTGTCCAAAACGGACGCAGGAAAGTAAACGCATATTAAAACAAGAAAGATTGATATTCAAATCAAGTTGGGTACTTTATTTTGAAGGTTCATTTATACCATTTATCTATGAAAAATAATATCGCTCAAATGTTCACCAGGACTGGATTTACAGACGTCCACGCGATGGTCGAAATTTTCAATGACATTTTGCAACATGGTCGGTTCTATGGCATTTATCTCGGCAATGATGTTGTTTTTGAGTTCTTGGAGGTTGGCTGGTTTGTTGAAGTAGACTTTGCTTTTCAAATATCCCCATAAAAAGAAGTCCAAGGGAGTCAAATCGCACGATCTTGGTGGCCATGGCACATTTCCTCTGCGCAAAATCACGCGATCACCGAAGAAGGCCTGCAATCGATGGATATTGACGTTCGTTGTGTGGCATGTTGCACCGTCTTGCTGGAAATGAACATCGTCCATATCCATTCCTTCAAGTTGCGGCAAAAAATAGTCCTCTATCATCATCTACTGAGCGAGGGCCGTGGCAAATGCTTGTTCCGGAAGTTGTTGTATCCAGTATACAACTTCTTCCCGTCCAAGTGATTGTGCACGCGTTAAGGAATACCTCAGTACCGATTGCCGGGTGGCGGTACAAGTCCGCCAACGGGCCACTTTAGGTCTATTTAACATCACTAACACGTAAAAAGAAGGTGGTAGACAAGGACCAGTCGACCGAGGCAGTACCACCCGCTAGCTTTTCCCAGGGTGTCTTATAAATGTCCGCATGTTTCCACACCTAAGCTATGCAGTCGGTTATCTACCAAAACAAAGAAATTAATGATGATGGATCCCTCGAGCACTAAAAACTCCGGACGTAAACTCACTCCACTCTCGGAATGTCCGGGTGGAGGGTGGGCTCGAGGGAACAACATCGAAGATAAAATTTGTTTTTCGAACATCTGCGGGATCAACAGCAACATTGATGCTGTTCATCACTACCTGCAATCCAATCGTCCCGCCGTGCTTTTCTTGGCGGAGACAAAAATCTCAGAGACTGCACCGATTAACCATCTCAACTTCCCAAACTACGAGGTGCACTCCAATCTGAGAAAGAACGGGGGAGTTGTGGCTTTTGTCCGCAGCAGTCTTTCCTGCTCCAGGGATCTTTCTTTGGAATCAGACCGGAAGGACATTCTGTGGCTTCGCCTCAACTCCAAAACATCACCCAAATTTATTTGCTGCCTTTATCGCTCTCCCTCGAACCATAACTGGGATGACCTACTCGAATACCTCGCCGTCCAGATCCATAAAAAGAAGTCCAAGGGAGTCAAATCGCACGATCTTGGTGGCCATGGCACATTTCCTCTGCGCAAAATCACGCGATCACCGAAGAAGGCCTGCAATCGATGGATATTGACGTTCGTTGTGTGGCATGTTGCACCGTCTTGCTGGAAATGAACATCGTCCATATCCATTCCTTCAAGTTGCGGCAAAAAATAGTCCTCTATCATCATCTACTGAGCGAGGGCCGTGGCAAATGCTTGTTCCGGAAGTTGTTGTATCCAGTATACAACTTCTTCCCGTCCAAGTGATTGTGCACGCGTTAAGGAATACCTCAGTACCGATTGCCGGGTGGCGGTACAAGTCCGCCAACGGGCCACTTTAGGTCTATTTAACATCACTAACACGTAAAAAGAAGGTGGTAGACAAGGACCAGTCGACCGAGGCAGTACCACCCGCTAGCTTTTCCCAGGGTGTCTTATAAATGTCCGCATGTTTCCACACCTAAGCTATGCAGTCGGTTATCTACCAAAACAAAGAAATTAATGATGATGGATCCCTCGAGCACTAAAAACTCCGGACGTAAACTCACTCCACTCTCGGAATGTCCGGGTGGAGGGTGGGCTCGAGGGAACAACATCGAAGATAAAATTTGTTTTTCGAACATCTGCGGGATCAACAGCAACATTGATGCTGTTCATCACTACCTGCAATCCAATCGTCCCGCCGTGCTTTTCTTGGCGGAGACAAAAATCTCAGAGACTGCACCGATTAACCATCTCAACTTCCCAAACTACGAGGTGCACTCCAATCTGAGAAAGAACGGGGGAGTTGTGGCTTTTGTCCGCAGCAGTCTTTCCTGCTCCAGGGATCTTTCTTTGGAATCAGACCGGAAGGACATTCTGTGGCTTCGCCTCAACTCCAAAACATCACCCAAATTTATTTGCTGCCTTTATCGCTCTCCCTCGAACCATAACTGGGATGACCTACTCGAATACCTCGCCGTCCAGATCCATAAAAAGAAGTCCAAGGGAGTCAAATCGCACGATCTTGGTGGCCATGGCACATTTCCTCTGCGCAAAATCACGCGATCACCGAAGAAGGCCTGCAATCGATGGATATTGACGTTCGTTGTGTGGCATGTTGCACCGTCTTGCTGGAAATGAACATCGTCCATATCCATTCCTTCAAGTTGCGGCAAAAAATAGTCCTCTATCATCATCTACTGAGCGAGGGCCGTGGCAAATGCTTGTTCCGGAAGTTGTTGTATCCAGTATACAACTTCTTCCCGTCCAAGTGATTGTGCACGCGTTAAGGAATACCTCAGTACCGATTGCCGGGTGGCGGTACAAGTCCGCCAACGGGCCACTTTAGGTCTATTTAACATCACTAACACGTAAAAAGAAGGTGGTAGACAAGGACCAGTCGACCGAGGCAGTACCACCCGCTAGCTTTTCCCAGGGTGTCTTATAAATGTCCGCATGTTTCCACACCTAAGCTATGCAGTCGGTTATCTACCAAAACAAAGAAATTAATGATGATGGATCCCTCGAGCACTAAAAACTCCGGACGTAAACTCACTCCACTCTCGGAATGTCCGGGTGGAGGGTGGGCTCGAGGGAACAACATCGAAGATAAAATTTGTTTTTCGAACATCTGCGGGATCAACAGCAACATTGATGCTGTTCATCACTACCTGCAATCCAATCGTCCCGCCGTGCTTTTCTTGGCGGAGACAAAAATCTCAGAGACTGCACCGATTAACCATCTCAACTTCCCAAACTACGAGGTGCACTCCAATCTGAGAAAGAACGGGGGAGTTGTGGCTTTTGTCCGCAGCAGTCTTTCCTGCTCCAGGGATCTTTCTTTGGAATCAGACCGGAAGGACATTCTGTGGCTTCGCCTCAACTCCAAAACATCACCCAAATTTATTTGCTGCCTTTATCGCTCTCCCTCGAACCATAACTGGGATGACCTACTCGAATACCTCGCCGTCCAGATCGACTTCCTGAACATCAATCACCCCGCTTCAGAGGTAGTTCTTCTCGGTGATTTCAATGCCCATAATGAGCTTTGGTTGGGCTCAAATAAGACCGATGCAGCAGGTCGTGCAGTCGAAGCGTTCGCTCTTACCCAAGGGCTGACCCAGCTGGTGACGAGCCCTACTTTTTTCCCCCGCGTCTCGTCACACGCCAGTAGCCTGCTGGATCTCTTTCTGACCACGCATCCTGCCCCTTACAGCACTGCTGTCCTGTCCCCCCTGGGTAACTCAGATCACGGTGTTGTGGAGGTTAGGTTTCGGTCAGAAGCCGCTGTGGCAGCAGAAACTCGCACAGGCCGCAAAACTTGGCATTACGGACATGCCGACTGGGAGGGGCTCAGAGACTTCTCTAGCTTTCCTTGGAGAGATGTCTGTTTCACTGACGCGGATGCGTCGACTGTCTGTTCTTCAATAACCGAAAGTATCCACGTCGGAATGGAGGAATACATCCCTCACACAGTGAAAGTTCCTAAACCAGGGTCCAACGGCTGGTTTAACAAATCGTGTGACACTGCTCGCCAGCAGAAGATCAAGGCCCACAGAACCTACTTACAAAACCCCACTGTAGAGAACAGACAATCCGACGTCGAGTCCAGAAACAAATATAACGAAGCGGTTCGCAATGCCAAAAACCAGCATGATATAAAAGTTAGGCACAGGGTAATGTCGCAGCGCAATGGCAGTCGGTCTTTCTGGACGCTGGCCAAGCAGATTCAAAAGAACTTCTCACACAGTAGCCTTCCACCACTTACGTGTCAGGATGGAACTATTGTATTCGACTCAAAGGCCAAGGCGGAAGTGCTAGCCAAGATCTTTGCTGCCAACTCCACCATGGACGTCCCCACCAACGCCCAAGTGCCGTCAATTCAAAGGGTTCCCCACACTATGCTGGAGGTAACATTCAGGCATAAGACCGTACGACGAGTGCTCTTGTCGCTCGACATCAACAAAGCTTCTGGTCCGGACTTGATTCCTGCCATTGTACTGAAGAGACGTGCAGCGGAGCTTGCTCCAGTTCTTTCGCGTCTCTTCCAGATATCTTATGAATCCGGCACCTTCCCAGAAAACTGGAAATTTGCTCATGTACAGCCCATCCCAAAAAAAGGATCTAAAACCGACCCTCACAACTACAGGCCTATAGCTCTGCTTTCTGTTATAAGTAAAGTGATGGAGAGGTGCATAAATCGCGAGCTTCTAGACTACCTCGAACGTCACAGCTTGATTAGCGACAGGCAGTACGGTTTCCGGCACCAACGATCCACAGCTTTCGTCACGCAACTGTGGAGTAAACTCATCCAGTCTCATGGTGAGACTCATGTCGTTGCTCTTGACATCACGAAAGCGTTCGATCAGCTATGGCACGCTGCCCTATTAAGCAAACTTCCATCCTATGGCCTCCCAGAAAAGCTTTGCAGATGTTCTACCAAAGAGCCATTCATTTCGGCTGGTCGGAGTCCAGATCACCGACGACCTGATCTGGCACGAACACATCTCTTCAATAGCTGCAGCTGCTGGGAAAAAGCTAGGCTATTTGTTTAGGGCTAAGAAGTACTTTTCTCCGCATGACCTTCTCACGCTATACAAGGCCCAGATAAGGCCTAGCCTCGAGTATTGCTCACACATTTGGGGTGCTGCCGCCCCGACTACATTGGCCATGCTCGATGCTGTCCAGAGGAGGGCGGTCCGACTGATCGATGACTCTTCTCTAACAGACAGTCTCGGGACTCTTTCGCACCGGCGGGCCGTCGGCGATCTAGCTCTTTTCTATCGCTACACCAACGGGCTTTGCTCCTCAGAGCTCTCTTCCATGATGCCGCCGCGCGATGTGCCTGCCAGACAGACCCGCCTGACTTCGGCGTCCCATCCTAATCGTGTCAAACTTCGTACATCCAGAACTGGCCGATACGACCGCTCCTTTGTCCCGAGGGTGTCTAGATTGTGGAACAATCTACGGGAGGAAGCATTTCCCAGTTCTACTAACCTTAGGCAGTTCAAAGGTCGTATTAACAAAATTTCTTTGGGATCATCATAGCAGCCGTGGTGTTCCGGCATTTAGGCTTCTGCCTGCGCGGCTGTTTCGATATAAAAAAAAAGTGATATCGCTCAGAATTGACGGTAACGGCGTCTCTGGCCGCATTTTCGAAAAAGTAAGGTCCTATGATGACTTTTGACCACAATGCACATCACACAGTCACTTTTTGAGGATGCATCGACTGCTCTTGATACTCACGGGGATTTTCGTTCGCCCAGATGCGGCAGTTTTGCTTGTTTACCGTCCCATTCAAAGTGAAATGCGCTTCGTCGCTGAACATGATTTTTGATGAAAAATTGGCATCAATTTGGCGGTGTTCAAGGAGCCAATCTGAGAAAGTTCGGCGCGAAAAATGGTCGGCCCGACGCAGCTCTTGCGTCAATTGGATCTTGTAGGCGTGTACATTCAAATGCTTGTGGAGAATGCGGAGCAAACTGGTTCTCGAAATGGCCAATTCTTGGGATCGACGCGTTGTTGATTGTTTCGGATCGTCTCTCACACTCTCTTTCACAACAGCAATATTTTCCAGTGTGCGAACGATCCTTGGCCGGCCAGATCCTGGCAGATTTGCCACAGAACCTGTTGCCTCTAATTTACGCACCAGACGACCGATGGTTCTTTCGTTTGGGCGGTTGTTGCGACCGAAATGTTCACGAGGCGCGCGAAACGTGTTTTTTATTTTTGCACCATTTTTGTAGTGCTCTTGAATAACTTTAATGCGGCCTTCAATCGAATACGACTCCATAGCGATCAATGGTAAACATTCAACTAACAAAATGACATGTCGGTGACAGAAAACAAAGATGGCGTCTATGTCAAATTGACGTTTACTTTCCTGCGTCCCTATTGGACAACCCGTGGAAATTTTGGTAACAGAAAATTTTGGAAATTATAGGACTTTTGGAATCTCTCGAAATTTTATTAATTTCAAAAATTTTGGAAATCTTGGATATTTTTAAATTTTTGGAAATAGAATTTTTGATGACAGGAAATCATGAAAATCGACCTAAAAGTGCCAGCATCAAAAATCCGTCTTGAGATCTTTGTGAATTCCGGATATTTTGAGAACTTTAGAAGTTTTAGAGATACTGCAATCTTAGAAATTCTGGAAACTGAAAATTTTCAACATTTTAGAAATCTTGAAAATTTTGGAAGTTCTGCAAACTTTTGAAATTTCGGAAACTTTGGTAGCTTTATCAATTTGGAAAATCTGGAAACTTTGGAAACTAGAAATTTCCAAAATTTGGACTGGAAATCATGGGAATCGTCCTAAAAATGTGAATCGTTGAGATTTTGAAAACTATGGACATTTTAGAAATGCTGGAAATTTAGTACGTATATTCGAAAACCTTGGAAATTTTTGAAACTGGAAAATCCGGAAATTTTGGGAACTGGATATTTTGGAAAATCTTGACATTTTTAAAATACTGGTATATGAAAATTTCGATAATTTTGGAAACTTTGGAAGTTTTTGGAATGTGAATTTTGATGACTCTGGAAATCATTGAAATCGTCCTGAAAGAGTCAGCTTAAAAAATACGATGTGTCTAAATATTTTGAATTTCCAAAGTTCTAAAGATTCAGGTTTTTCCGTTTTTCTTTAAGATTGTACCTTCTTGAATGATGGTGAAAAATGGCGTCAATGTTATCTGATCACTTCTGTTGAGCGATTTGCTGACGTCGTCGTGGACACTTTCTATCACAGACACTTCACTTTGGCTTTTTCGGTTATCTTCGTAACCTTTAGCGTAATTCTTTTCTGATACCATGCAAGCGTCCATGTCATAGTTGCTTTGGACTTTGTTCATTCTTCCGTATTGGGATATTTCTGATATACTATTTATTTTCACCCTATGGAAAAAATGGCGTCAAGTAAGTTGACTCTGACTTTCCATGCTACGTTCTCATCAGTTCGTAAAGTTAAAGTATTATGTTTGAGACAAGTTAGCCGTTCTGAGAAACAGTTAGCCAAGAACATGTATAACAAAACATAAATGACCTTCCTCCTCTGCTAGAGAAGGATTATTGCAGGTGCACATGATCCCGCGTAAATGAATATTGGCCTTCACCATGCACAGGCCACAGCAGTGCGGAAGCGATTGCCGACTGTAATGTACGACCATCGACTACGACGCTTGTCCATCGCGGGATGACGTCGCACGAATCGACACCAGACTGTACGAGATATTTCTAAGTTTTAAGGGTAAATGTACTGAGGCTGGAGGTCTATAAATAAGCCAACGTAAAAAAATTGAGATATACCCGACCCACCCCCTGCAAGCCCTGCCTCCCAAATTTTAATCCTTATAAAAAATATTCCGAAAATGATCAGGATCGTCTCAAACGAAAAAGTTGAGCGATTTTTACTTTTTCTCTGCCGTCACTAAACCGATTTTCAAAAACTACAGCGTAGTAACATTGTGTAAAAATTTCATCGAAATCCGAGCGGTACTTCTCAAGTTATAGGTTATAAGATTAGTGGACAGACCGACGGAAATGAGTGACATAGATTTTCGTGATGTACAAGTCATATAGCATTCAAAAAACATAATTTCTCATTTTGGAAAGTTTTCCCGATTACAATACTTCTCCGCCCGTAGGCGTGGGAAGTAAAAAGGACCGTTTCTTGAGATCCCTCTTTGGGAGCCATCAGTTTATGGTTGGTTATCGTCAGGTACAGTACGATAGGACGACAACACAGTGGAAGCCGGTTTCCTGCTTACCGGCAACCAGCGCCGATCTGCGCCTATAATCTTCTATAATAATATCATGCTCTTGAGTTTTTTTTAAGCATTTATTGTCCAACAGTACAGGTACCATTTAGAGAGCAATACATAATACAATGGTTTAATTTACACAGTATGTGTGTCATAAAGTGAAACAAAAAAAAGTAAGTAGAGAAAAAACTATAAATATGATCAATAGATATTAGGAAACCAGAATATACTCGTATACAGGGTGTTTCAGTTTATTGTTGCATAACTTTAAGATTCGATAGAACTTTTAAAATTAATGCATAAAGTCTATATAAACATGGGTCGAAAAATGCGTGGCTTCCGAAATTTACTTTTTAAAATAGTTTTTTTAAATATTTCGAACAATATTTGATGTATAACAGTGAAAATTGGTATACGAGGGTTTTTTGGTACGACAAAACGAACCATGGGCATAGTTTTACTGTAGCCGCTAGAGGGCGCTCTCTACTGTACCTGTAGTGTATTAAAATGACCTGCATAAAAAAGCTCTCCTGTGAGTTTTCGTTATAGTTAGCCGTTTTTGAGATATTTCGATTTTTAAGGTTCGATGCATTTTTAATTATTTATGGGAAAATAATATTTTTTTTTACATTTTCGATTTGGGCATTACAAGTAATTACGATGTTCGTTTAGATTGTGTTTTTAAACACAGCAATAATTCCTAACTCCAAATAAACACAAAAAACAGAATATTAATTTGTTTAATTTTCCAATATTATTTTTAACAAATTAAATTAATTATTTACAACTAAAATGCTATTGGATAGTTAGGACAAACATACAAAATCTAAAGTAGTTGCTCGAAATGTAAACCCAATTGTTCAATACACAATTCACATCTACGAATGATCGAACGTGGTATAGCATTATTCAAATAAGGCCTTATTTCATCACATGCATTCCTGATTCTGTCAATTAGCATATCTCTTGCAGTTACGGGAGTCTGGTACACTTTTTCTTTTAGAAATCCCCACACAAAGAAATCTAATGGATTTAGGTCAGGGGATCGTGGAGGCCAGGCCACCGGTCCTCCACGGCCGATCCATCTTTCTGGATAATTTTCGTCCAGCCAGTTTCTAACTATTCTCGAATAATGAGCTGGACATCCATCAAGCTGGAACCAGGCCAATCTTCTTAAATCTAACATAACATCATCCCACATATTTGCATGTTCAGCCTTTAAAAATTCCAAGAAGGTCGCAGCATTTAACCTTGCAGGCAAAAGGTAGAGTCCAAATAGTCGATTACGGTAGATACCAATCCACACGTTCACACTAAATTCATGCTGAAAATTTCTTTCCCGAACTGCATGCGGGTTTTCATGCGACCAAATATGTTGATTATGAAAATTTACCACTCCACGTCTAGTGAAGCATGACTCATCGGTCCATAAAACTTTACTTAAAACTCCCTATTATTATCAGTTCTATCAAGAATCCACTGACAAAATGTGATTCTTCGTTCTCCGTCCCCTGGCTGTAGTCCTTGCACAGGTTGCAAATGGTAAGGACGTCTATGGTCATTTCTAAGAACAGGGTGAACATGGCTTGCTGAAATTCCCAAGGCACCAGAAACTCTCCTAACACTTGTGGTCGGATCTCTATCAAACTCACGCAGAATCATACGGGTAAATCTGCGCTGACGAACATTTATGTTGTGATCCCTTTGGAGATTTACAAAACCATTTTCAATTATTTGGCAATGCACTCTTACAAATACTGAGCGAGTTGGATGTCGTCTGTTTGGAAATCTTCGTGCGTATTCTCTACACAAAATGAATTTCCGCTAACTCTTGATTGGAGAATAAAAATGGCAATTTTATAAAACATACAAAAAAAACAGGTAAAAGAAACTAAATTTCGTGCATTCACAATTGCAAAAAAACGTTTCAGGTTTCAACAGACAACAAAACTAACTGTCAACTAATTGACGTTTAACCTTATTCTGCTTTCAATTTTAAAAGTATTTGCAGGCACATCCTACTTCTAAAAATTATCGAGATACTGACTTTTTAACGTTATTTTATCATAAATAATTAAAAATGCATCGAACCTTAAAAATCGAAATATCTCAAAAACGGCTAACTGTAACGAAAATTCACAAGAGACCTTTTTTATGTTGAAAAGTGCGAAGAATCAGTTTTTTTAATCAAAAAGCAAAAAATTGCAGTAAGAAAAAATTTTCCGTCATTTTAATACACTACAGGTACAGTAGAGAGCGCCCTCTAACAGCTACAGTAAAACTATGCCCATGGTTCGTTTTGTCGTACCAAAAAACCCTTGTATACCAATTTTCACTCTTATACATCAAATATTGTTCGAAATATTTAAAAATTATTATTATAATTATTATTTTAGAAAGTAAATTTAAACACCCTGTATTTCGGAAGCCACGCATTTTTCGACCCATGTTTATATAGACCCATGTTTATATAGACTTTATGCATTAATTTTAAAAGTTCTATCGAATCTTAAAGTTATGCAACAATAAACTGAAACACCCTGTATATACACACATATACATATATAACAAATAAAAACCCCTAGAGAAAGGCATAAAAAAAGTCAAAGATGTGAACGTATAGCACTTCGTAATTCCTGAAATCCACAACAGAAGATATCACAAAAACACTCCTATTCGCATTATTGCACATAAAGTTTATTGGTGCTTTAGATAGAAGATTTGTCTGCGCCCTCTTGCAGTAAAAGGAAACTTTATATTTAGATGTCAATCTAGGTACCAGGAAATTAATTTGCGATAGCAAAACAGGACAGTCGATGTTACCATGCAGTAATTTGTATAAAAATATGATGGACGCCTGCTCTCTGCGCTTTTTAAAGGAAGGGATGCCAAACTATTCAGTAATTGTGAGTAGTCACATCCTCTTGGGGGATAAACACCATCACTCCCATAGCGTAGATATTTTAGAAATTTTTTCTGCACTTTTTCAACATTATTTTTGTACAGTTCATAGATAGGACTCCAAATAATTGCACCGTATTCTAATTTAGTTATAACAAGCACTGAAAATAACTTAAGAAGCGTTGTGTTATTGAAATTTCTACAATTTCTGATAATAAAGCCATATTTGTGATACGCATTACTTATAATTTCACTGATGTGGTAGTTAAAAGTGAGCTGACAATCAAAATAGACGTCCAAATCCTTGAAAGTTTCACACCTTTTCAATACAGAATCATCTGTTTTGTATGGGTAAGTTAAAAATTTGGCTTTCCGGGTGAAGGTCAAAATGCGGCATTTAGAATTGTTCAAATACAGATTGTCATTAGCACACCATGTTTGTTAAAAAACTAGTTGTTGTTGGAGGTTTTCACAATCCTGCCAGCTAGCAACACATGCGTAAAGCTTTAGATCATCAGCAAACATAAGCTTCTTGCATGATAAAGTGCTGCAAAGATCGTTAACGTATAAGGCAAACAATAGGGGGCCCAAATTAGAACCCTGAGGTACACCACTACTTGGCATATATTTATAAGAACTAAATCCATTTTGTTGGCAATAACACAATAGAGGCAGGCTCAGGCTTGTCGGCTTGCCGAAATGATTATTTAGTTCCTTCTCGCCGGTTGTCAGAGCAGGTTGATGTGAATAATCGATATAGACAAGTTAGTTAAAACTGTGGAGGTTTCAAAAATTTTTACTTAAAAGAAGAACTTTTCTCAGAGTATAATTAAATGTTTCATGATTAATTCTGGAGTACTGAAAAAGCGGGCGGAGTCATCTTTCAATGCCTTGAACAACTGATAATATTCACCATAATACCAACTTTCTTTCTAGTGATTATTTTAGTTACAGATCTGTCCAATGCAATAAACTCATCTCCGGATGAGCTGGACCCCATGTTAACGCGAAGACTACGCTGGAACTGACAAGAGGTCGGTTTTATTTGCTTTTCAGCGCTATGTCCATGACCATCGCCGAAATTCGGTACTGATCGGCGCTGGTTGTCGGTAAGCAGGAAAGGTCATTAAAAGATAGTGCTAAATTGAAATTCCTGTACTTAATAGAACACCATACCGGGTGTTCCAAATTCGACCTTCACCGTTGCGATCTCGGAAACTCTAACAGATACGAAGTCTCTTAAATAGCGGCAAAGTTGCGTATATACGTAATCAACAAAATGCCGCTTAGAAAATTCAAATTATTTTGCAATACTGAGAAGAGTTCAGGTATGTTTTTTTCTTCTAAACACATGTGGGTTGTCCAATAGGGACGCAGGAAAGTAAACGTCAATTTGACATAGACGCCATCTTTGTTTTCTGTCACCGACATGTCATTTTGTTAGTTGAATGTTTACCATTGATCGCTATGGAGTCGTATTCGATTGAAGACCGCATTAAAGTTATTCAAGAGCACTACAAAAATGGTGCAAAAATAAAAAACACGTTTCGCGCGCTTCGGGAATATTTCGGTCGCAAGAACCGCCCAAACGAAACAACCATCGGTCGTCTTGTGCGTAAATTCGAGGCAACAGGTTCTGTGGCAAATCTGCCAGGCTCTGGCCGGTCAAGGAGCGTTCGCACACCGGAAAATATTGCTGTTGTGAAGGAGAGTGTGAGAGACGATCCGAAACAATCAACAACGCGTCGATCCCAAGAATTGGGCATTTCGAGAACCAGTTTGCTCCGCATTCTCCACAAGGATTTGAATGTACACGCCTACAAGATCCAATTGACGCAAGAGCTGCGTCGGGCCGACCATTTTTCGCGCCGAACGTTCTCAGATTGGCTCCTTGAACACCGCCAAATTGATGCCAATTTTTCATCAAAAATCATGTTCAGCGACGAAGCGCATTTCACTTTGAATGGGACGGTAAACAAGCAAAACTGCCGCATCTGGGCGAACGAAAATCCCCGTGAGTATCAAGAGCAGCCGATGCATCCTCAAAAAGTGACTGTGTGGTGTGCATTGTGGTCAAAAGTCATCATAGGACCTTACTTTTTCGAAAATGCGGCCGGAGACGCCGTTACCGTCAATTCTGAGCGATATCACGTGATGATAGAGGACTATTTTTTGCCGCAACTTGAAAGAATGGATATGTACGATGTTTATTTCCAACAAGACGGTGCAACATGCCACACAACCAACGTCAATATCCATCGATTGCAGTCCTTCTTCGGTGATCGCTTGATTTCGCGCAGAGGAAATGTGCCATGGCCACCAAGATCGTGCGATTTGACTCCCTTGGACTTCTTTTTATGGGGATATTTGAAAAGCCAAGTCTACGTCAACAAACCAGCCACCCTCCAAGAACTCAAAAATGTCATTGAAAATTTCGACCATCGCGTGGACGTCTGTAAATCCAGTCGTGGTGAACATTTGAGCGATATTATTTTCATAGATAAATGGTATAAATGAACCTTCAAAATAAAGTACCCAACTTGATTTGAATATCAATCTTTCTTGTTTTAATATGCGTTTACTTTCCTGCGTCCGTTTTGGACAACCCCATACTTCCGGAGAGAGACAGAAAAAAGCGAATATTCTCAAAATCGTTTTAATTTTTTCTTGACTTCATTTGTAGTGGGATTTCAAAATAAATTGCTCATTAACATTGCCACTCTTTCACCTCTACAAGATGGCATAATTGGAATTTCAATATGACGTTTCGGGTCTGATCCTCCAACATCATCTTTATTTTTTATTACGGACCTCATATTGAATTTTTGCACAGATGAGTAGATTTTTTAATTATGATTACAAAAATGTATAATACGTCATACATTGACATTACCAAACCAAAGCAGAATTTCCTAGGTAGGCCTTAAAATTTTTAGACAATTTGCTTTGCATACCAGATTTATCCCAAAATCATTTTTATTTTTTTATACCAGCGTGCGGAAAGTACTCACTTTCAACACACATCTGTGTGCAGAAAGTAGCACTTCTCCGCACGCATAACTTTTCATAGTCCAAATGACTGTTCTTTCACATTTAATATTGTTAATAATAATTATAAATTAATTATTGATGTTGTTGATTTTACAATTATTAAATTTCTAATTGAACATAGTACGTATTTAAAATTCTGGGTTTATTGTTTTCTCGCGCTACGCTGTTAGAAACAATCTTATGCTTAACACTTGCGGAAAGTGTATATTGCGCCCTTGACGGTTTGCCCGTCGCGAGAGGAACAAGTATCTCTTTCCGCATTATTTCCTGATTCTAACACCGGATTTCAAAATAAATTGCTTGTTGTCATTGTTACTTATTCTCCTCTACAAGATGGCGTAGTCAAATTTTCAATTGGGATATTAATCTTGTTTCGACTCCCATCACCAACTTTATTTTTTCATATGGGCGCTATATTGGAATTTTCAGTCCTAAATTCGGTGATGTATTTCTTTTTATTGGCCATACATTTGTTGTTGGATGAAAACTATACTAAGTGACATATAAATCCGAACACCCAGTTTAAATGGTTTTATTTTAATAAAAGTTGGTGAATGTATTTATCTTACTGTAAATAACAAGTGAAAAAATTTTCAGCCTTATCAGTTGGACATTCCGGTTTTTATACTGCTTTTTTTTTAATTCACTAACGCTCTAAAAATGAATATTTCAGCCGCAGTAAAGAATCAACGTTGGCGGATTTTGGTTCTTGACATCCTTTACGATCGGTTACGATGCCTAGAGTACGGAGACCTGTACGATTTCGTCAACTTAGTGAGTTTGATAGGGGCCGTATAGTGGGACTTCGGAAAGCTGGACTTTCTTTTCGGGCAATTGCAGTTAGAGTGCAAAGAAGTGTAGACACTGTGGTTAGGTGTTGTCAGGCATGGCTTCGAGAAGGCCGTATGCAAAGAGCAAGGGGCACTGGACGCCGCCGTAGAACAACAGACCGTGAAGATCGCCGCCTAAGATTACACTGGTCAACACTCGTTATGCCACACGAACTTTGACAGCTAATTTTGTTTTATCAGTCTACCCTCATTATTACATGACAGCTGTCATATGTCTATTAGCCTCATATTTGTTGTGATACGGTAATACTCATAACTAGTACTACGGCAGTAAATTAACAGAAACGCTTACAAGTAAATCCTTATAAAAATATTTGTTGTTGAATTTGAACACTTTTTTGTGATTTATTAACCCTGTGAATATGTCGAGGAAGTGTAATAATGATCCTAACTCTTTTTGTTATGTCTGCGGAGAACTAACATTCAAAAAACAACGACGAAATTTTACGAATCTTGCGTTGGAGTGTTATCACCAATGTTTTGGTTTTTCTGTCGCCTATCAAGACAAATCCTGGGCCCCTCATGTCTGTTGCATAACGTGTGTGAAAAATTTAACTGACTGGAAGAAAGGTGCACGACCTATGCCGTTTGCTCTACCCATGATATGGACTAAACAGCGAGATCACGTTTCAGATTGCTATTTTTGTCTCGCAGACATAAAAGGTATAAATTACAAGAAAAAAACCACAGTTATTTACCCTAACTTATCTTCGGCTATAAGACCAGTCTCTCATTGTAAAAAATTGCCAGAACTAATACCAGTTGCAACTACGTCTGTTGAGAACAATTCACAACCGTCCACTTCAGGTGAATGTGTTGACGAGGACGATGACTTTGAGTTAAAAGGAATTGTAAACGAGCCACATTTGATAACTCAAGGAGACCTAAATGATTTGGTTCGGGATTTAAATTTGTCAAAAAAGCAGTCAGAACTATTAGGATCACGTCTAAAAGAATGGAATTTGCTACATCATAATACAAAAGTTAGCTATTTTCGAAACCGTGATCAACACTTCAGAACGTATTTTTCTCAGGATGGAGATTTGGTGTTTTGCAATAACATAAATGAGATTATGAAAATGTTGGACATAGATTTTGATCTCTCTCAGTGGCGTTTATTCATTGATTCTTCGAAAGCAAGTCTAAAAGCAGTGTTATTGCATAATGGAAATAAGCTTCCGTCTGTACCTCTGGCCCATGCTGCAAATATGAAAGAAACCTATGAAAATATGAAACTTTTACTTGAAAAAATAAATTACAGTACATATTCCTTCAAAATCTGCGGTGATCTTAAAGTTGTTGCACTATTACTTGGACTTCAGCTGGGTTATACAAAGTTTTGCTGCTTTTTATGTGAATGGGATAGCCGAGACAGAACTAATCACTATATAAAAAAAAACATGGCCTACGCGTGCATCGTTAGTTCCTGGGCAAAAAAACGTAAAGTATTTACCCCTTGTACAGCCAAATAATGTGCTTCTACCACCATTGCATATCAAATTAGGATTAATAAAAAATTTTGTGAAGGCTATGGATCGCAATGGGAGTGGATTTTTGTATCTAAAAGAAAAATTCCCTAAAATAAGTCATGCAAAGATAAAAGAGGGTATTTTTGTTGGCCCTCAAATTAGGGAGTTACTAAAAGATTCAAGATTTGAAGAAAAATTAAGCGATTTAGAAACATCTGCATGGAAGGCTTTTAAAAATGTTGTTCAAATTTTTTGGGTAACCACAAGAGTGACAGCTACAGAGAGTTGGTTAGCGAGCTATTATTGTCATATCAAGCATTGGGTTGCAACATGTCACTTAAGGTCCATTTTTTAGACTCGCACCTGGATTTTTTCCTGACAATTTAGGGGCTGTCAGCGACGAGCACGGTGAGAGGTTCCATCAGGACATTTCTAATATGGAAAAGCGGTACCAGGGCAAATGGAGCCCAAATATGTTAGCAGATTACTGCTGAACAATTAAAAGGGACCAACCAGAAGCTAAATATTCAAGAAAATCTTAGATTATTAAGTCATTTATAAAAAAAATAACTTTTGATTTACGAGATCGTGTGTTTTTTCTTAATATTTTAAATTACTCATTAGAATAAAATCCTTGTCTAGCAAATTTTTTTTAAC